GTTCCAATCTTGGCAAGGCGCAATGGTCCGCTTCTGGGTTGGACTTTAAAAACAGGCTGCCTCAAGTGGCTTCTCTTTTCTTTCAACCTTCCTTCCTTCTCCCCCCCCCTTTTTTTCCCTCCCCCCTTCTCCGTGGGTTGGGAGGGGGGGGTCTTGAAGCTGTCAAATTAAAGCTGCTGCCTTATTTCTAGTTTGCAAATGGATCTCAGTTACCCCCTAAAAGCAGGGAGTCCCAATCTTGACCCCTTTGAGACACCTGGGCTTCATCTCCCAGAATTCCCCAGCCAAAGCCATACAGACTGAGGAATTCTGGGAGCTGAAGTCCATTGGTCTTAAAAGTTCTCGAACGTGGCCTAAGAGATCCCGGGGTCACCCACAGCCCATTTCTTTCTGCCTCCGTTGGGAATTCCCTTTGTCAGGAGGTTGCAAAAGGGGGGAAAATCACGTGATCCCAGGATACGGCAGCCGTCATAAATAGGAGTCAGTGGCCGAGCATTTGAATGTTGATCCGGGGACCATGAACGGATGCTGCCACGGTCGTAAGTGTGAAAAAACGGTCCGACTGTTGTAAGTTGAGGATTATTTGTTCAAGCCAGGGGTCTTCCAACTTGGCCCTTTTATGACTTGTGGACTTCAACGCCCAGAATTCCTCAGCCAGGGGTCTTCCAACTTGGCCCTTTGATGACTTGTGGACTTCAACGCCCAGAATTCCTCAGCCAGGGGTCTTCCAACTTGGCCCTTTTATGACTTGTGGACTTCAACGCCCAGAATTCCTCAGCCAGGGGTCTTCCAACTTGGCCCTTTTATGACTTGTGGACTTCAACGCCCAGAATTCCTCAGCCAGGCATGCCTGGCTGAGGAATTCTGGGAGTTGAAGTCCACAAGTCATAAAAGGGCCAAGTTGGAAGACCCCTGGTCCAATCCATGTGATGGATCCATCTGTAGCAGAGGAAAGGAAAAACGTCACTCTCCCACTTCAGGCCTCTTGGCCCTGGGAAGAGTTTTGATCTGACGTCAACTGGAGCGACTTGGATTTTGGTGTGTCTTGGTGGTGATGGAGTCTGGGCCAACGCAAGTTCAAAGTCAATTGCCTTATTCTTCAGTTACATATTAATCCTACCTCCTATTGATTCAGGGCCTGCGTTGCCGTCTCACAAGCCAAAAACTGACCCAGGGGGTATCGCCGGCCGTGTTAAAAATTAATTTTGGGATACTTTCTCCAATATTCACGGCGTCTCGGTTTCAGGATCCAGTTGGGTTTTTTTTTTTTCCTTGCACAGGTTGATTTGATTTCCTCGTTACTCATGAAAAATGGATTTTTACCTTTTATCATTTTTACAGGCCAAACCCCCACCCCCCACCCCGCCGAGGACGGCTTTTGTCTTTCAAGGCTGGGTCCAATTGATCGAATAAGTTTTAATTTAACCTGTCTTCGGTTTGCACCTGTGGGTGACGGAATCCTGACTGACTTAAGAACGGTGGCGAGAAAGGTTGTAAAACGGAGCAAAAGAAAACTCACTTCTGTGCTTAGCCACA